CCCCTTCAGAGAGAGGCTCAGCGGTTCTCTCCGTAGTAACGTTGCCATCGTCATTATACCAGCACTCCCCCTCCACTGTGTCGGTCATGGCTCCCGTTCGTTGCATGCCATCTTACCTTGCTCTGGCAGCGACTGTAGCAGCGGCGTGTGTGCTCCTTGTGCGGCTGCTGATAGTCAAGAAATCACCCGACATGATGAGACTGTAAACACGTTCGGCACCACTAATTTTACAATAGCTATGCCGCAGCTATAGGGCCCGCGTGAAAGCAGGGCCTATCCAAGCGCGAGTTTTGGATTTTTTTGTTTGTTTCCCGACATACACCATGCCGGACGCGGCAGCCTGAACACTCGATCCCACCTACGTTTCCATCATGGTATACCGGAAACCCGCACTGTGAACTAGCCCATTGAGGGTCTTTCGGAATTCACATTCCTTTCTGACGACCTAATCAGAACCGCCAGCACTTTCGCGGCCGGCGGCAGTGGAGTAGATTCCACTCTCGCAGTCTCCTCCGGAGATGCCTTCGTCTGGACAATCTTGTTCGGGTCCTTCGGTTCTTCGTCCGGAGTGAACATAGGCTTCATAATCTGTTCAGCATTACTGGATATTGTTCTAAATGTGCAAACTCATCTTGGTCTGTCACTTCCGAATTTTCTCCAGACGCCAATGTTTGGACGTGAGGTAGTCCGTAGATTGATAATACTCCCTTTTGACGTAAACTAGCCTCTTTTTCTTTCAGAGTTTGACACTCGTCCAACCGGCGTTGCAAATTTGGTTAATGACAGCTGATCAAACCTTGTACTTGTTGTATGACGATTCGAGAATCTCCCAAACAACTAAGTCTTCGACGTTCCGTTCGAAAGTCATCACCAATCCATTTCGAAGTCCTTGGTATTTAGCATCATTCACTGTAACAGTTTCCAAAATGAAACATCGCGCTTGGATGACTTCCAAAGGATGCAACCACAACTGCCTTTCTTGGTCGAAGTCTTGGCTGCTCCATCGAAACTGAGAACAATTCCATCATAGTCACTCCCGAGCATCTCCACGCTAACGACTGGAGGTGCTCTCACATGTCCTTTTTCTGGGATGAGCGATTCAGCCACCTTCTCCAGATGCTCTCTCGAAGTGATACCGGCTCCCATGATGGCAGGTAAGCCGTCCTCATCCCGTTGTACTTTCTGAACCGTGATGTCCCAGTGTGACAGTGCCACATTCCAAGGTACGCATCGTCCATCGGCGGTTTCGAAGTGAGAACCCATTTCAGAACGGAGTACCTGGTATATATTTCCAAACACCATCCTTCTAACATCGTTCGGAAAACTTGAAGTACCCTGGGAATCGCGATCACTTCTTTCTCGGCAATATGATATCGTGATCCCGAATCGTTTAATACTCGCCCTGTGAACCTCACTGGAAGGATTGTTCCATCATACACTTGGCCTAAGACAGCGCAAGCTGCCCATTGGTTGGCATGCGGAATAATCACGAATGGTCGACTTCGGTCCGGATGTCGCAACAACGGAGTCGAAACGATCTTCCATTTCAAGATTTCAAAAGCGTCTTTCACCCGGAGAAGGTATCGTCCGGAACGGATCCGTTCTTCCGTGAGTTCATACAGTGATGCAGCTATCACTGGGAAATCTTCAATGAACTTATGATAGTAGTTCAAACTTTCGAGAAAAGAAAGCACCCCTTTCAGAGTCGTCGGAAAAGGTAAGTCTTAAACTCCTTTCGCAATTTTCGGAACGGCACGTATTCCTTCGGCGCTGATTTCGTGAGAAAGGTACGGGCTTTCCAAATTCGGCTCTTCGGAAGACTTACTGAAATATTCCAGTAACGCAATCGGAAAAGTAATTCATTGAGGTCGTCGCAGAGCTGATCCCAAGTCGCAGCATCATGAGCGATATCATTGATGTAGGAGCTCCTTCCGAGAACAGGTCCCATCTCTGGTTGCGCTGGAATGTTTCGTTTGAAAACAGTCATCGTCTCCGTCAGGATGGGAACGTTCCGTTCGGCAATCTCGCTCCGGTCCGAAGGTCAGTCCCAGATGTTGTAAAACGTCACTGTCCACGTCAGCTTCCTCCTCCGGAGAGAGTCTGACGAACCCCCATAAGCGGTTGTTGATCACAGCTTGGTAGATGAGGAGAGCGTTCTTCAGTCCGAAAGGCATTCCTACCCATTGAAAATATCCGAACGGACACACAAATGCGGATATCAACTTTGCTCGTTCTGACATCTTCACGGTCCAGAAACCACTGGCCATGTCACCGCTCATAAATATCGTATCTTCGAAACCGATTAGAAGATCGTCGATCAGAGGTAACGGGTAACACGATAGTTTCAGAAAACCATTCACGACCCGGTAATCTATACACGTCCTGATGTCAATTCCGTTTTTCTTTAGAACGAGGACTATTGGCGATGCCCAGGGTGACTCCGAATGCTCGATCAAATTAGTCTCCAAAAGCTTCTTAAGAAGCTCGTATACGTTCGGAAGGATGTGGGGTCCGACCGAACGTGGTCTCAGGGCGATGGGTTGTGCATCACCGACATCCAGATCACAAATAACTCCACGAGCAGGCGCAGGAGCTGCATTTCCATCTCCAAGGAAGATCTTGTTGTGATACACCAGAACAGATCTCAACTTCCGTTCTTCCTCAGGAGTAGACTTTGCGGAAACTCCCACATAGGCAGTCGAGATATCACATTGCGGAGTCAAGTATTCCAGTTCAGGAAGCATAGCAAGTTGATCGCGCAAGTGAGATATCAGCTCACTTCCCTCATGGATATATATAGGTGGTTCCAAATCGAGTTCTTTTGCAGAGACTTTCATGCACCGCTCGTATTCTAAACGAAGCTTTTCAAGCGGAGTGTCTACTCCCCCCGAAGCCATATCATCGTCCGATGGTTCCTTCACACAGTCTTCATTTCGAAAGTTATCGTCCGATTCGTAAGCGAGGGAATCGAAAAAATTTCCCCTTCGGAGTCGACGTCTCCGGCGGAATGGGCATCGTTTTGTTCGAGTCATCATCTTCACTTTCGGAGAGCAAAGAGGGTCCCAGGGTTTCTTTGTCACTGGAAACCACGATACCTGCGACTTCGCAGTTAAATCTCGGTCCGCTTTCAACCTCATACATCTGAGTCGAGATAGTCTCCGAACAGACTTTTCCGTCCGGATCGCATTTGAACTGCACATGTTTCTTTTCCACCAGATCGCCTGGGAACTGAGTACCTACAGTCCACGTTTGGACAACTTCCGAAACTGTGGGTTCCTTTTGAAGTTGTACGATTCCGACTTCGTCCATGCCAGAAGAGACCTAGTCATCAGTTTTGTCGGCCATGGATAGTCTACCGACTGAACACACGGTGGTTCGGCTTCTTGCATCAGCTGTTCAAAACGTTC